ATAGGTGTGGGGGATAAGTTTGTTATAGGATAGAAGAATGGCTGGATGGAAGAAAGCAGAGGGTTGTTATAAATGGAGTTCAGTCAAACTGGATTAATGTCACATGTCGGGTACTTCAGGGCTCAGTCTTAGGAGCTTTGCTTTTTTTGATTTACATCAATGACATATGAAGGAATGGTCAATAAATTACTTAAATTTGCTGATGATATTAAGGTCTTGGGTGTTGCTGGCTGTGAGGAGGATGTTGCTGCTTTACAAAAGGATTTAGGTCACTTAGTGAGTTGGGTGAATAAATGGCATATGGGTTTTAATTATAATAAATGCATGTGGGTTATCATAATTCGAATCATAAGTATAAATTGAATGGGAATAACCTTAAAAGTGGTATGAAAGAAATGGATCTTGGTGTAGCAGTTAATCACTCTCTTAAACCATCCAAACAGTGTGCTGTTGCTAATGGCAGGGCAAGTAGGATATTAGGTTGTATCTACAGAAATATTGAATACAAGTCTAAAGAGGCTATAATTTAATTGTATAGATAATTGTTAGGCCATATTACGAGTATTGTGTTCAGTCTTGGGCTCCTTACTTTTGAAAGGATACTGAATTGCTGAAAAGGGTTCAGAGGACGGTTACCAGAATGGCGCCTGGGATGGAAGGTTTGTCATATGAGTAGAGATTAAGATCTTTGAAACTGTTTTCTCTTGAAAAAAGAAGAAATAGAGGGGTGTGATTGAGGTGTTTAAGATTTAAAAGGAATCGATAGTGTTGATGTATAATCTTTTTTTTCATACTTAACGGCAAGAATAGTAGGACTAGGGGATAAAATTATGAATTTTAAGCAAGGTAGGAGTTATTTTTAGATTATACGTTTTTTTCTAACACGGTGGATGGCCTCTGGAATGGGTTGTCTTCAGATGTTGTGGAGGCAATAAATTTAAGTGAGTTTAAGAGAAAGCTCGATAATTATATGAATGATAAGGGTTAGCCTTAATATTTTTTTTAAATTGATAATAGTATAGTTTAGAGGATGGGACAGCTGACAAGGACCAACATGTCCCCTGTTGTACCTAAACGCTATGTTATGTTATTTTTTAAAATTGCCAGACAAATAATGGTGGTAATGGAAATTTCAAAAATGTTTGGAAAACTTCGCATGGCTAGTGAATAAAATGGAACAGACATGTTTTAGGAGTGCATAATGTTCAGGATAAAGCAAAAATTTGCCATTTTCTAATTCTAGAGAAAAGTAATAAGCAATACATATGTTTTGCATAGTGAGCAAACTATGTAAAAACAAACGACTACGGTAATTTTGTTTCTTTTTCCTTTTTTTTATTTTGGCTTCAAAATTACCAATTTGTTTGATATATATATTTTTATACATGTGTATATTTGAAAGCAACTCAATCTGTTACCATGAGTAAGTGGTGCCATTTCAGCAAGATACTGATAAGGTAAGGATGGGAGCAAAGTTAAACTCTAATTTCTATAAAATACACAAACTGTTGATAGCATAGCATGTTTCGGAGTTCATACATCAATTGGAGCCGCTTCCAAGAGTGTACAGAGTAATCTGAATAGGTTTTCTTGCATATTTATCACTGCTGGTTATTCTATTTTACTAGTACTACGAAAGCAATTATAATTACTTAGTCAGTTATTACCAATTAATTGTACATTTTGATAGTGTTAGATTATAAATGCTTTAATAGCTTGTAGAGGAAAAATTACCTTCTATAAGGTAAATAAAGTAAAGTGTACACTTCATAAAAACTGATCCTAATAAAGTTGTTTTGTCTCATATAGTTATATTCACTACAAATCTACATTCTCAATAGATAGCGAAACGTACGCAAATTATTAAAAATGCAAGTATTTATACTGTTTATCCCCAGCCCACCCCCTGTATATGCCCACCTATGTGAGAGCTGTTAATAAAAATTATTATGTCAATTCAATGTCTCAATATTTAGTAACATAGCTGGGCAAATAGATATTATATCTAATTAAATGATTTCAAATCACACTATTATGTGACTGTTAATGTTCTATATGGTTCATGCTACTAAATCTAACAATGTTCACAATAGTATCACTCTTAAAGAATTAAACATAATATTAGTTTTAGCATGGTTTATTTAAAAAGTGATTATATTTCAGAATGTAATTGTGAACTGGTTATTTAGCAGGGTACATCTTTAAAGAGGCTACTTAGCCTATATTAAACATGTATAATTACAAATGTAAATGAGGTAGTAATCAGTAAAGAGTTTTAATCATAACATGTTGCTGTAACATATTTTATTGTTGGGCGTGTTCTTTTGAATTATTTGGTACAAATAACAAGTCTAGTTCACGTAACGATAGTGAATTAACTTACTTCTTCAATAACGCTTGCTACAGGCTACGTTCGCTTTGACATAAGTTGTAGGCCTAAGTTCACAAACAACACGTGAATAGATATTCCGAAACTAATTGTATGCCTAACAAACAGATAAACTTAGTTACAGAAATGAATCACTCATTGAACACTCAGTAACTCATTAATTGCTCATTACTTCACTGATTCTCGTATTTATAATCTATCATGCATCCTTATTTCTAAATATTCCACGTAATTTCTAGATGATCACATAATCATTATCATTAGCTGTCTCTAGCAAATATTTAAATTAAAAATTAGCTTACAACAATATATATTCAATAGTGCTTATTCTTCACGACGTTGTTACAAGTAATTATTAAACATGAATTTTAATAACTTGTTATTCAATAGGACTTAATTTAATTTTAATTTATAACTCTATTATTTACTTATTTTAGACTGAATTAACAAAAGTTTATAAAGAATTACGAAAACAAAAACAAAGAAAAAAAACAAGCTCCAAGTACGAGAAACAAATAAATCATTCCATTAATAATAATTTGTTCTTTTAAACTGTAAGTCTCAGATTTTAGAAACCCTTGGTCTATTTTTAAGAAGTGCTATCAGTATAAATATAAATACACTTCTTTTGAAAGATAAGAAATACAGTTTCAATTTATTTTCTATAATTTGAATTTAAAGTTGAATAAAAATATAAATTATATGAAAAATTTAATCTAAGTTCTAAGTGTAACAGTTAAGCAAATAGTGAGAGAGCTCCAGTTGGAAAATTGATTTGGATTACATGTAGATAGTGGGTCAGAAATTAAAACTTTTAGAACATCTTACTAGTAAGGAAAGTTTTATAAACATAGAAAAGTGAAGTATTGAGACCCCGGTAGACAAATCAGGCACTCCTATCTTCGGTGAAGAAAGTTCAATTTGTATTTTGTTTTTATACTCACAGAGGGCGTATAACTTAGTTGAAATAAACATAAAAATATTTTGGGACTGAAGATTTTTAAATAGAAAGTATGCGTAGTAGTTAAGCCTAATGTTAATATTAGATTAGAATGAAATATTTCTGTTGTAACAGTGCTCTCTTTATAAGGTAATTTTGTGTTAAGTGTTAATTAAGTTATGCTATCTGTAGTAGCTTTTTTTTTTCTACTTGGCTAAGGGTTCGTTGTAAGGTTAGGGTGTCGGGACAAATACGGAATGGCATAGGATCTCTTGGAAGTAAACCTAAGTCATATGAATTTCATTTAATCAACGTAAACTGTAAATGAGGTTACCTACATATATCAGAACTAAAAATAACACAGGAAAGCTAATTTAAAACCTTTCTTTGAACGATTAAAATACACCGATTCATTAGTTGGATATTCTTGCTCATGATGTTATATTCCTGGCGGTATTTTCAACCTTGAAACCAAGTCGACTTAGTATTAGTAATAGTATCTGCTGTCTTTACATTACTATATAGATGATCTACGATAACATAGGTTGTAAAGGCTGAAGAACGAACATGGTGATATTTCAAGTATCTGCTGTCTTTACATTACTATATAGATGATCTACGATAACATAGGTTGTAAAGGCTGAAGAACGAACATGGTGATATTTCAAACAAGTAAATGAAACATTCCATACTTGTGTTTGTTGGAAAGTTAGAGCTATCATTTGTCTTTCATCCCAATGTAATTTATAAGTAATATTGAAACGTACTTAGGTCTATAAACAAAACTTTAGTTAAGTACTTTATCGTATGAAAACATTTTTAAAAAAAGTTAATTTATTAAGTTTTTTTAATGTAAGTTGTAATTTAAAATACTAAGATAACTTCTGGTTTAACCCTCTGATGCTTGTCTGATAGCAGTGTTATTTTAGTGGATAAAATCTATCATATATACTTACTGTAAATTTCATTTTACACAAAACCTACATATTATGCTGCCATTAAAACTGCACTGCAGAGGCTGGATGATGTAATCTACCCAGCTGGTATACTTGATAATTGCCTTGTTGGCTAAACAGTTTGAAGCTGCAGTCTTGCTATTACTAGTTCTAGATACTTACTTAGCCTGGGTAAACAAAGCTGCTCAAATGGGAATAGCAAAGCGGAAGTGGAACTGGCAGCCTTAGCCTTAGCCATATGTCCTCATTAGGTTTGCTCTTAAAATGGGTCCAATGCTATGGAGGTTTGTAGTTCAGAACACTTCCACAAAGAATTAGAAAAAAAAATTACTGAACATACTTGAATGAAAATACATTTATGTTTAGATGTGAAATGGTAAATAACATTTATCAGTTTTCATCTGCCACAAAAACCATAGTAATAAAGAATGTGTTCCTTAAATATTAGTAAACTTCAGTGTAAATTTGGTTTTATTTCAATGGAATACAATACAAAGTGTAACAGAAAAATATTCAGGGTTGTAGCTATGGTGGGCGGGGCCTCATAGGACTCGTTCTGCCCACCCAGCACTCCCGTAAAATGTGATTACTGTAGCCCAGCACTGAATATCACTGAGAAAATGTTCACCATAAGCATGACAATTTCTTTGTCGATGACACAGTACAGTTTACTTTGCAAATAGCTTGTTAGAAACAAATACTTTTCATAAAAAAGTCACAAAGCAAAAAACCTTATCGCTAAAATATTTTTCAAGTCCACAGGAAAAAAACATATGGAGAACTGAACAGAAGGTTCATGCCATTGCTAATTCACTTGTACTTAGTGTGGTACATCAGACATTATCATCCACAGTGGATAAAATACAAATCCTATTTTCTTTCCAGTAAAAGTTATGTGGTGCATAAAAATATTTTCAGAATTTTATGGATATCTAAAATATAAAAGTATATCAATGTATTTTTTCATAAAAAATTTTTTAATCTCTTTGTGATTAATTTGTATCAATTACCTGCAGTTAAAGATAGATCAATGAGAAAAATAAATCTCAGCCTAGAGTAAAATTTGTCTCTGTCGTTATTTGTTTAGACTCATTGTTTACCTTATAACATGTTTGCCTAGTGACTGCTCGTGTGGAGTGTTTTATTGGACTTTCCGAAAGAATTTACAAATTTTCAAAGTCATTAAAATTATAAACATGAAAATAATAACCTTTTATTTTTGCCTGGCCGAGGGGAGGAATGGTACAGTGGTGAAAGCCACAGGCACGTCCATCTTTGGGCTAGACTGGTTTTTTACCATCCATCACTCAAATTGTCCTAGCTACAACCCTGAAAATATTTAGTTATACAGAGGTGCATTATGTACAGTTTTACCAGTTTGGTAATAGTGGCTACTGATGGGATTTTTCCTTTCAGAACTTGTGAATTCATCCTCTTCTCTCAACAATATAGTGCTACTCCATCCCTGCACAGTGTTCAATGGAAAGAGCAGGTTCCTCCAATATTACTTACATGGCATCATGAAACAGAAAACTTAATGGTGCTATTCTGTGTAGAGGTGGGGATGATTAGGCTGACTTTAAGGAAGATGTTTGGTAAAATTGGCTGTCCTGCTGTAGGCTGTGATATCAAATCACTTCTAGGTTTCAGGTTCACTTAACAAGAACAGCAAAGTTATCTGTAGATGTCTGTTTGATACAACCATGTTCAAACAATATATTTTAAGGATCTTGGAGAATATCCTCATTAGGTTTGTTCTTAAAATGGGTCTAATGCTATGTATGGTCTCCTGTAGATATACTGTCAAATTATCATTTGTTTAATGGAGCTCTAGATTGTCCTTCATAACTTTTTAACATAATTCACAAAGCCACTGTCATCATTCTATGCTGCATAATGTTGTTCAAGCAATAAAATAATGATGCCAACCATTGATTTCTGATTATCTAACAAAAAAGGTAACATGTTATAAGTCCTCTGTGAACTTTACAAAATTTTCAGCCTTTTCTACTTCTGAAATAGGCAGTAGACTTTATACAGTGATATTTTTTACCCCATTTAACCTTGTATTTCAGAGTTGCCAACACAAGCACTTGCTGTTAAAGGAAATGCTCATCCATGAGGTAGTTACTATTCTATCTTGTTTTGGCATCTATTATGAGCTTATATTGTGAGAGACGGAGCTGTTCTTGTCTCTCCTTGAATAAAGAGGCAGTAGTAGTGCTTTAAGGTAAGAAACACACAGTTGATCTCATTTTTGCTAATAGTTGATGAAGGCTTTTAACCACTGTAGTCTTGTTTTAGGCAGAACTGAGCACATAGTAAAACACCCAATATGTACTAAAATGTTGGTAGTCTTAGCAGCAATGCCCATATTTGCTTCAGTGTATAGTATGGACCCTATTGTGTGTTTTGTACTCCCTTTAATGTGTAAACATTTTTATAATTATCATATTTTTCATCATTCTCGGTTTGGATGCAATTATCCAACTTTCCCTTTCATTAGAGTGAGCTGTAAGTGTGTTGATAATAGGCTGTTATCTGTGTTCTCTTCCAAGAAAGATAATTGGATAGTTATTAGGAACAGTCATGCTGACCATGGGTCCAGAAAGCAAATTTTATATTGTGTGTAGTATTGATTTTCATATGTTAAGCTAAGTCTGCTCTAGAAATTACATAATTCAGAAGAGTTTAGCAGGTTTTTAATGCTCGGCAGGCCATTAGAATAAGTCTCTGCAGGTTTTATTTTCAGATCTTTACAGTTCAGTCAAAGAGAATGGTAAGAGTTCTCATAGAGTTTTGAAAATTGAAATTTGCCTTAAAAAAATGTTTTTGACTTTGAATTATTGCACATTATTGTTTTTGAGAGAATAAGAGTTAGTTTGGTTTAACTAGAAGAAGTCAAGTATTTCAATAAGTCCTTAGTAAAATCCAAGCTATACTTGAATTTTAGTTTAGTTAAATGTTGGGTTATGTTTGCTATTTAAATCTTTCTCAATTTTTTTACCATCAGGAGAGGGGTGGAGGTGTACATTTGAACTGGTAAGAGATACTAATAGTTCCGATATGGTACATTACCTCTACTCTCATAAATAGATGTTCCTGTTCAGTGCTGCCCTCTATACAAAAAAAAATGTTTATGCACGCCACAAGCCTTTTATCTCCCCTCAGTTGGAATTGACTGATTCCAATGCGTCTCTCATGCAAATCATTATGCGACAACCTTCCACCAATGAGAGTGCGACATACTCTCATGTGACTCCTTTTATTTAATTCTACTGAACTGTCACTTCTTGTTTGGTAGTACTCGCACTCAGATGATTTTTTTTTGTGCTCTTAGTGTGATGCACATTCATGACTTTAATCGTTTAATTTCCAAAATGGGATTTCTTCATTAAATTTTTTTCTTTACATTGAAGAAATACCTTACTTTAACTTCATTTCCCAGTCTTTATGTTTTTTCACACACACATATTTTTGCATCAAACACTTTTGTTTGATATATATATTTCTACAATGAATTCTTAGGTTCATGTTACCACTTTGAGCATCTTACCTCCTACTAGCACTATTTCACAGGCTACAGGTGGGGGAAGACCCATCATTGGATTTATCTGCTGTGAGATTTAATGTTATATGAGTCAACCTCCTTCTCCTGAACTTGCCCCACTTCCTGCTGAGCAAGCCAAACTCTCATCATTGAGTCTTACTAACTGGCCTTAACTGACAACTCTTGATGCAAGTGTGCATTGCCAGTCATTTCAGTGCTGACTAAATATTCTCATTCAGTTGTAGTGACCACAAGATCTTGCCTAATATGTTTACTAGTATGTGACTCTGGAGCAAAAACCATAGTTTGTGTTTAAATGGGCTGGAATTGTGACGTATGGCTGTGGTGCTTTGCTGGTCCAGGAGTATGTGGTCCACCTAACTTTCTCTGTGTTGCTCAACTTGTTCTTAGTCCTTTCTGCAACAATATTGTACTTGGTGGGGATTACAGTTTCCTAAAAAATAGACATAGATCAGAATTTGCATCCTGGTTCATATTTATGAATCATTCTTTGGAAAGCATCACACACTGTTATACCAAATAGCAACACATTTGCAATTAGATATTGGGAAATCCATAGTGTTATTAGGTGGGTCTTTGACTGTGGGAGTTTCAGTTTTGCAGCCAGCAAGATGGATTAGTTGCTTCAGGAGTCCACCTGTGTGTAGTTTGTGTCACTTTTATATTTCTCATTGAAATGGAAGCTACATGAGTCACTGAAAAACAAATAGTTTTATTCATGCTCAATTTATAATTATATATAACTTGAATGATTTTTTTTTTCATTTATATGTCTTATTTAGAATAGTGCATTTAGAAAATAATGGCTATGTTCGATTAAAACAACATTGTGCTATTTTTCAGGGCCACATAAAATACCAGGTTAAAGCTGGAAAAGGCTGATTAGACCTCTTTCACCACTCTCTCAGAGCTTGATCCTGCCATTATTAACTCACCATATATTAATAATTGTGTAGAAAGATAGTAACAGATTGTAGTGTATTTATAGCTCTACTTAATATTCATTGACACCTTTTTCATGATATCTTCATCCATGATGGACTCTTCACTCCTGCCTGCCTGGTGGCACATCAAAATCAGATATGAGCCTGTGATATCTTCTGCAAATATCCCATTCTTTTCAACTACACAGACTTTCAGAAAGTGAATGGGAAATATACATCCCCTTTTATTCTTGCAAACCAATTCCAAAGAGTTTCTTAATTCCAGTAGAATGCTTTTACTATCATTCACGCACCTCCACCTGTTCCCCATACTTTTTGACCATGAAAAAAAGGGCCAAAAGAATCATATTTTCTTTTAGACCTGATTATCTGCTTGGTTCAAATATTTTTGCTGTGGTGGAACCAGGGCTGATGATGGGGGGACAAGTGGGGCAGCTGCCTGGGGTCTCTTGAGGTGCCTGGCATTGGGATATTCCAAAGCTCACTAGAAATGCACATTATTTAATAAGCTAAAATTGCTACTGCTTTTTCATGGATTCATGAAGAAATTTGTCACCTAAATTTCTTTTATAAGAATGAAAGTTATGCTATTGTGTTTTAAACATTTGTTAACTCATTATGTTCCTTTATCACTGTCCAAATTAATCATGTTGTTTTGTTATTTATAGGCTATACAGTAGGCTTTTTAGTTTCATTTAAGTTTTCAACTTCTCTTTTTTTTCAATATATAGTCTTTGTATATATAATATTTTTATTTTATACACTTATAATTTATTTTGATTAACTATCTAGACTGTTGTTTCAAGGAAGCAACAGCTGACATTAAGCTCAGTACAACATACAGGCAGCTAATTGAACAGGATGAAAATAAGACTTCTTGATAAGGGTGTTTGCCTTAAAGTGTCTTTATATTGCCACCCCATCATTTTGAAGAAAGGGAAAAACATGTCAGACAGTTTTGGTTTGTCACATTTGAACTGTGATAACATGTAAGAGTGATTGTAACATGTCTTGAACTCTACTTATTTGAACCCAGTAGTGGTGACTTGGATCTTTAAGTACACATAGATCTTATGGTTTTATTGTGGGCATTTCTTTCATGTTTTTAAATGACATTGCTGCCATTAGTTTGGTTACAAAATTGTACACTCACCAGTTACTTTTAAATTTGATTTCATTCTTGAAATATCACCTTATTCTCCTTAGGGATAATTTCAATTTTTTTAAGACTGTTAAATACAATACAATGTAAACATCCAGGATTCTAAAAAAACACTTAAGATGTGTATTGGATCAATGATTAGATTCACATATGGATTGGATACTAGAATAATTGTTTATACTGTTTTAGGTAATTCTCAACTTATAACCTTTTTTTTTGTAGAAAATTTCAATCCTTATAATGAAGGTGGGAATGCCCATTTTTAGTTTTTGTAAATGGTTAATACATTCCTCTCACTTTTTAAGTGTATAAAGTATGTAAACATTTTTAAAGTACACAAAAAAACTACAAATTGGTGCAACTTTACAGTGATTTTAGTTACACACACTAAAGTTTACATATAGATCTATATCTAAGCATACTCAGTATTTTCATTTATATACCTGAATTAACATGTGATATTCAACATTACCTTTAATCAGTATACAATATGTTCAAAACATTTTTACAGACCCTGCGCTACTTCAACACCTTATATACAGTGTTTTCTTTGTGATTTAATATCAATGCATTATATTTTAAAAAATTGCTGAGTCTATCAAAACAGTAGGTTTATCATTTCTTTACAGGTTTGTTTCAACAAATGTTATTTTGAGTGAGTGAATAACAGTTTTATTTTTCTAACAGGGTAATTAACTTGGGGAATGAGTTGTTGTTGGCGGCAGTAGTGAAGGCCAGCAGTTTACAGGATATGTTAAACATTTGAACTGGAGCTTATTTAATTTGTAGTTTAAATTAGTTTTGCTGTAATATTGTTATATATTTTATACTCATTATTAATTTCTGATCAAAGCAAATTTAGAAATGTTTAAAAAGGGATATTTTTGCAACACAGAAAAACAAAACCTAGGTATTAGACAGTTGTATGCCAAAGTCACTCAAGAAAGTATGCTGAATTACAGACCATATAGCAAGGGCAAACATTATTCACTCCATCGACTGGTATAAATTCTAAACAGCAGGATTATATTCATTAATTGAAGGGAAAAAACATTTTGCTTGTACAGAATCATACTTGAGAACTAATTAATTAAATTTGTATATGACTAGTTTCTTAATGTAGTTGAGGAAATCTCATGCATGTTGGTGCAGGAATGTTGTATTTCCCGTTATTCATTGGTTTTGATTTAAAAAAGAAAATTTTCAATCATTCACAGGTTCATAAAGGTCTAAACCTCAAAGGACAGAAAGTCACTGGAACAAATAATGGAGAAACCTAGTGTTTTTACACTGCCTAATGTTAAATTTTCAAGAATCGCATTGCTGTTAGCTGTTGGCTTGAGTGCTTCAGTGTCATCATTACTTTTTTATCTTGTATTTATTAAAAAAGATGATTTGGAGGAACAGCTAGAATTAAGCACAAAAGGAGGCAGGAAATCTCAACAAGTAACAACATCTCGACAAACAGTTATCCATGTGAATGTTCCCAAGAGTGCTATTGGTGGAGTTATTGGAAGGCAAGGATCTACCATAAAAAAGATTCAGGAGCAGACTAACACAAAAATCAAATTTGAAGAAAAAGGTAATGATATTTGTATGCATATGTGTGTTTGCAAACATTCACATGTTTTTGTAAGTACATTGTCACCTTCAGTTTATTTTAGATCAGTGTATATAAATATCACCAATTGATCAACTATTGCATAAACTCTGCTGTATACACTTAACTATTATCCACAGGTTTGGATGTGGAGGAGAAGGTGGCTGTAATCCGAGGCTCTCCTGAAAATGCTCAAGAAGCTGAGAATCTTCTTTACCAGTTGATTAATGAGCAGCCACAGATACTCACTGAAGATGTTTTTGTTCCTGTCAGAGTTTGTGGGCGCATCATTGGTCGTAATGGAGACACCATCAGGTAAAATTTTGTAAACCTGGGTGTATTATGTTTCTTTGTTTAACTGGGCAGCAATGGTAGAGATTATGATTTGCTGTAGAAACTTTATATTAAAATAGCTAATGAAATCAAAGTTCATTATTGGCTACAAAAATAATGTACTGAGTTAGAACTTGTGGATATTTTTACCAGAGATTTAATTTTATAATTAATTATTTGTTGTGAAACTATAGGCAATAGCAGCTTCAGAAGCATTTCATGTTATTGTAACACATCTTAGTACCATCTGTGGTATGTGTTCTTGTTACACATGCCAAAATGTATTATAAATATATTAAGTTCTGTTCTATTATAACATAACATATGACATAATGTTTAGGGATAACAAGGAACCTATTGATCCATCTTGCCTGTCACACCCTTTAAACTCAACTATTATGAATTAAAATCTTGAAACCAATCCTTATCATTCATATAGTTATCAAACTTTCTCTTGAATTTACTGCCTCCACAACATCTGAAGGCAACCCATTCGTGAGGCTAACCAACCTGTAAGAAAAATATAACTGTTAGCTGAAGATGACTCCTACCTTGCCAAAATTTATATTTGTATCCCCCAGCCTTACTATTCTTACTGCTAAGTATGAAAAAAGATGATGCATCAACACTATAAAATTCCCTTTACAATCTTAAAATACTTAACTCAGATCCCCTCCATCTCTTCTTTTTTCAAGAGTAAACAGTTTCAAAGATCCTCATACGACAAACCCTCTATCCCAGGTGCCATTCTAGTAACTCTCCTCTGAGCCTTTTCCAACAATTCAGTGTCCTTTCTAAGGTAAGGAGCCCAAGATTGAACACAATACTACAAATGTGGCCTAACCAATAACCTATACAATGAAATTATAACCTCTTTAGACTTGTATTCAATATTTCTGTAGATACAACCTAATATCCTATTTGCCCTGCCATTAGCAACAGCACACTGCTTGGATGGTTTAAGAGAGTGATTAACTGCTACACCAAGATCCCTTTCTTTCATGACACTTTTAAGGTTATTCCCATTCAGTTTATACTTATGATTCAAATTATGATAACCCACATGCATTTATTATAATTAAAACCCATATGCCATTTATTCACCCAACTCACTAAATGACCTAAATCCTTTTGTAAAGCAGCAACATCCTCCTCACAGCCAGCAACACCCAAGACCTTAATATCATCAGCAAATTTAAGTAATATATTG